TCCTGATTGATTGCTTATGTTGTTATTTTCATAATTTGCCAAATTAATGTAAATGTTTGATGTTAAACTTTGATTCTGTAAATAAATGACCGCATTCATTTTGATGGGTCAAACATAAATGACGTCTCACGTTTGCATTTCATTAAATTCAATGCACGTTTTATTCAGTTCAGAAAAATGAGGAATCCGCGTTAATTGATGAATATATCTGAGCATCTGTTCATCTACATATTGGTGGCCCGCTACGTGCTCATAAATGGACTGTATATTCGTGTATAAATTGATTTTAAATGTTGGCATGTGGAAAGTAGCAGTCAAAACATTGCATGTTTACGCAGCTCATGCTGCACCGCCTGAAGCGAAACGCTGCATGTTTTTAAGCGTGTTGGTCTGTGATGCTCAGGAAGCTCACAGAAAGCTGAAATAGTGTCATAAGTCTTTATGAAAGCTGAAATTGTACGCCTGTTATCGTAACTAAAAAGGTTTTGAGCTGGGTGAAAACGCTCTATTCTGTTTAAACTGAGGTCCAAACGGACGGAGGTTCGGTTCTGTGGACCGGTTCGGTTCTGAAAAGTTCGAACGAGTTGTTTAAATAGTTTAAAAGACGTTTCTGAGACCGGAGTAACAGACTCCGTACAGCTCAGAGTTAATCGTTACAAATTTTAACAGAAAAAGTGCATTTTGACAGTTTACAAGACGAAAAAGTGGACGCTAATCTAGCATGCTAGTTGCTTTGACGCTTTCGTGATTTGTTGGATATTGCTGCTGTGGAGCGCTCTGATTTGCTGAGGAGGGTGAATGCGTGCCTACGTAACTTCCTCTCAACCCTGCGCTGCTTTTTCATTGGTGATTTCAGTCACGTGACCCGGAAGTGAAAATTCGTTTTCATAGGGAAATAAAATCTGCTTTTTAAAGCTGAAAAGCGCTTTAAAAGTGTATTTTGATACGCTGGTTAGGTTCTTCGAAGCATACTCGCTGAAATTTTGCCACGTTAGAGTTTAAAATCCGTCATAAAATGATGTTTTTTGAACGACGCTAGCGATGCTAATTTAAGCTAACAGCTAACGACCGGAGCCTTCACTATGCTTAAAATCACTAAATAAAGCTGCAATATTGTCCCACGAAACTCATGTTTAAGTTCTTCGAAGTCTAATTGCTAAAATTTTGCCACGTTTGTGTAAAGAATTCGTTCAGAAATGTTGATTTTAACCGAGTTTAGCCGAAGCTAACTTTAAGCTAAGCGGCTAACAACAGGATGTCAACCGAACGCCACAGGAAGTTATAGCTCCCCTAGTGGACAACACAAACAGTGTCGGAGTTAAAATTGTTAAGGTTGTACTGACACCTTCTGGATGAACGTGAGATAACAGGTTTTCACTTCGTTTTTAGGTATTTTGAGTGAAATTAAACGTTTTCTTTCTGTAAGACGAACTTTGAGGGTAACAAACTTCCTCGAGCTGCATTATACTGTTTTGTTATCTTACCATTAAAAGTCAGTAAAGTATTTACGCCCAGCGAGGCGTTTACTAGGAATTTTTTCATTCACTGATGAATCCTAAAGCAGGTGCAAAATGAAAAAATGAGAACTGTTGGTAGAAACAGAGACAGATAATCATAAGAGCTGAAAGTTTACTCGGTCGCTAAAAAGATAACGCACGTTTAATTGTTAAACTTAAAAAAATAAGAGTAAATGCATCAGTAGAGAGAAACTCTTCTGATTTTATTTTACCACCTAAACATTTACATCTCCTATTTAATTTCTGAATAGCAGATAATGGAAGGCGAAGAGGTAAACACTGACCCCTTACAATCCGGAGATGCTGTCCAGACAGCTTTACATATTTTAACAAATTCAATTATTGGTAAACAATTAGAGCAATTGCAAGACCTTGATGACGATCAAAGATATGAGGAGCTGCAGAGGCTGTCAAAAGCAGCTAATGTGAAGGAGGACACAAAATCCAGCCGTGAACGGTTAGCAAAAATTTCTCTGCTTCTGAAGGCGGAATTGGACCGTCTGGTTGAACGAAATGGCTTGCTGTTCAGCGGATATGAGTCTGAAAAGGAGAGGTGTGACAAATTGTTAAATGAATCTGAGTTGCTGAAACAACAAATTCAGACTGATAGGGACCTCTCAAAGACTGAGCTGTCAGAACAGGCTCAATCATATGAGGAGAGGATTAGGGCTAAGGAACAGGCGTACCAAGCCGCGTGTGCAGATAAC